GTTCACCAAGATCCTGGCTGTGCTGGCCGCCCATCTATGGAAAGTACCGGTACGCGTCCAGTGCTACCTGGACGACATCTTGATCCAAGCATCCTCCTTCCAGGCAGCCCAGTCGGACCTGGAATCAACTATTCAGGTCCTCCAACAGCACGGGTTCTCGGTGAACTTTCAAAAAAGCCAGACGCTTCCCTCACCCAGGCTTCTGCACCTGGGAGCCATCATAGACACCACAAACTGTATGGTCTATCTCTCCCCGAAGCGGTTGGTCAGCATCAGGGACCTAGCTCGCCGAGTATACAAAGGCCGCACCGTTCCACTTGTCTTACTCTCCCAACTTCTAGGGAAAATGGTCTCCTGCGTAGCCATAGTTCCCTGGGCCAGACTCCACTTGCGGGAGCTTCAATGGTTCCTCCTACCGTTCCAGCGATTGAACGCCAGCGCATCCAGCCGGCAGGTGAGGCTCCCGGTCCACACCCTCAGGTCTCTTCGCTGGTGGTTCTCACAAGCGATAACCAAGGGGTCACCTTTCAAGGAGCCGGACCGCCTCACCATCACGACAGACGCCAGCCTATTTGGCTGGGGAGCCCACCTGCAGTCTCAGTTTGCGCAGGGCCGTTGGTCCCAGCAGAGATTTGAGACACAACATTAATTGGCTGGAACTCAGGGCCATTCACTTAGCTCTTTGCCAATTCCACCACCGGATCAGAGGCCGTCACGTATTGATCCTCACGGACAACGTGGCATCCAACGCCCACATGAACCAGTAGGGGGGCACTAGGTCCAAGTCCCTCATGTCCGAGGCCCGGTTGCTGGGATCCTGGGCAGAGTCCAACTGGCCTCCCTCAGAGCCGACCATATATCGGGGGTCAAGAACCAACAGGCAGACTTTCTGAGTCGCTCTACAATAGACCCCTTGGAATGGGGACTACATAGGATCTTTTTTCTGAGATATCCCAAAGGTTCGGCCGCCCAGTCCTTGACCTGTTTGCGTCGTCGAGCAATGCCCAACTTCACAGGTCCTTCTTCCGCTATTACTTCCCAGGGGCGGAGGGAATGGACCGCCCTGCGGCTTCTGTGGCCGGAGGGCCTACTTTATGCCTTCCCTCCCCTCCCGCTCATTCCTGCGACCATCCGCAAACTGCTCCAGGAGCAGGCAGAAGTGATCCTCGTGGCCCCGTACTGGCCACAGAGACCCTGGTTTGCCGACCTAATGAATCTGTCCCGTTCTTCTCCATGGAAGATTCTCCCGCATCGCGCCTCCTTACACCAGGGGGTCCTCCAACATCCGGACCCTCGGTGGTTACAGTTAGCCGCCTGGCGCTTGAGCGCAGCATCATGACACAAAAGATGTTCTCACCACGGGCAATCACCATGATTCAGGCCTCTCGTAGGCCAGCGACCAATCGCATTTATGATTCCACCTGGAAGAATTTTTGCCATTGGTGCGGAAGGCGGAAACTGGATGTTTATAAATTAACTATTCCCCAGATTGTAGATTACCTTCTCGATGGTCTGGACAAAGGCCTGGCCCCTGCGACCATTCGTAGGCAGGTGGCGGCCCTATCGACGTTGCTCACTTGCACGAATTCAATCCCTCTAGCTCACCATCCTCGGATACGCGCATTCATCAAGGGCGCATGCAACACTAGGCCTCCCGTGGTATACAGGTATCCCTCTTGGGAGCTGCCTCGCGTGCTTCGTGCACTCACGAAACCGCCATTTGAGCCCATTGCTAATATACCATTGCGGGCCTTATCTCAAAAGGTCGCATTCTTAATCGTCATCACGTCAGCCAGGCGTATCTCCGAGCTGGCTGCTCTCTCGGTCAGGAACGATCTTTGCATCTTCCACCGAGACCAGGTAGTCCTTCGCTTGGACTAGATGACCTCCAAGATCCCTTCCAACTTTATTATTATTATTATAATGTAAATAGTAGTAATTTATTGGGTGGCCATTTAACTTGTAGAAGTTATAGAACACTATGAAGAAATTTTTATTTTAATTGGGGAAAGGGGGAGTATAGAAAGTTGACATTTGAGCTCTTAGCAACCTGAGGCTCCTTCTGGGAAACTAGAGTTCTTTTTGTTTCATGTCGGTATTTATAATTAATGTAGAAAGATGAATTTGAAATGTCAAAAACAAAGCTAGGAGCATTCATTTCTGGGTTGTGGAATCATGCCTTGCATCCTTCTCTTTTTTATCAGTTCTGATAAACAAGGAAATCTAAACATTTTGATTAGAAAATCACAAAGGGAGGTAATAGTCAGTTTACAGATTGATATGGTTTCAGGAAACTATGTGGTAAATAGCCACCTGCAAGCTTCTCAGTTATTAGTGAAAAGAAGTATTTCCTCATCAGTTCATTGAAAAACTGTTAGAAAGAAACTAAGAATATCTCCAACTAAATGTATACGTATTCAGGGAAAATTGGGAATCATTAATCACTGAAATTCTATAATGATATCCTTTCATTTCAGTAAATCTTGTAAAAGAAGACTGAGCGTATATCATTTGGAATAAGTGTTTTCAGTTGAGACAGCTGTTCAGTTAATAGCCCTGTGAACTAAAAACATGGAAATGCTAGAGATTTTTTTATGCAGCTTGTGTAAATTGTATGTTGTGTAACATGATATTCCTTTATTGCATGTCAACATTCTTTGGTGCTTTGTTCTGTTAGAAAGGCAAACCAAACCAACAACTGAATTTTATCTTTTTAACATATATTTTTCCAATATTTCTTTGCTGCCATGTGAACTGAAACTTAATTCTGCTTCAAAATAAAAAGGGAAATTTTCAGTAGCCTACTTGGGTACAAGAGCATCTTAATTCAGTGGAGAACTAACATGGTGGCAATTTCCTCTCCCCCCCCAAAAAAAACCTTTCATTGCAGTGTCTTCAATGTGCAGCAGTGCTCCTGGATCTGGCCCAAGTTCCCCAAATAGCTCCAACAGCACCATCACAGAAAATGGGCTTACTGGGTCAGTGCCTAATATACATTCTGAGGTAAGTCTAGTGAAAGAGTGTTGCTACTTGCTGTGATATGCTGCTTTGTCTCTTTTCTTGTCTACCTGTACATATTTAGCCCAGTATTTGTTGCTTTGAACAATAGTGTGTTGGGTTTGGGGCAAAGAGACCAGGGCTCAGATGGCTGCGCTTATCTGGGCTCTCCAGTAGACTTGGCCTGTCACTATTTTAGCTTCACAGATTAAATGTGAGATAGCAATGGGGTAAAACATCTCTTATTTGCTTTCCAAGTATATACATGTGCTCTCTCTCTCTCTCTTTATGAATGTGCACATATGTGTTTAATTTTTATTGAATAATTTTAACAAGATAAAAAGAGTACAAATATTTGAAACAAAGAAAATAGAAAAAGAAATAGAAAAGAAAAAATATGAAGAAACAGCTTCAATCTTTTTAAATTATAAATGAATTTATATTTTACTCTCTATCTAATGTTACATTATAATTTCCTTCTTGCCATAGTCCACCCATATCAATCCTCAAACCCATAAGTCACAAATTCATTTTTTTCTTTTTTCATTAAAATGTATATAAGGATTTCTCCAGCACAGGAGATGGATAATCCACCAATGAGTTAACTCAATCCTCCTGCCCAATCAGATCAAGTCGGCCAAACTTGCCACGCCTGTCCTGGGCCTGTTTTCCCAGTCTCGACTTGATCTTGCCCAGAGCAGACGTGCATGTTTGGCTCACAGGCAGGTAGATTTAATCTATTGGTGAATTATCCTTTACTCCTTAAAATCCTAGCTCTCTGAATAGTGCTAGGACCAGCACTCCTCTAGAGGACTCTCCTCTCGTCTGATCCCCATTGGGATCCAGCAGCAAACGGAGGCTTCCGTTTCTCCATTTCTCCCTTGCTCAGCGCTGGGCTCAGCGCTGCTGCAAATCCCCCCCATTCCTTCCTACAGCTCACCTCGGCCTCGGAGCTTGTGGCTGCAGCTCCGATGGTCTTATGGCGATCGGATTAGCTCCGTGGAGGCTGCAGGGCCTCGATCTCAAAACAATTGCACAAGGCGCTTCTAAGGTCCCTGGAACACCGCAGATCAGCTGGGGAGGCTGCTTTTTCGCCTGCCGCTTTCTCCTCATTCTGTGGGTGAGCAATTAGAACCGAAGGGGGAGAACGGAGTTTGCGACGCGGCCGCCATCTTGCGGACCGCGTGATCATCGCAAGTCCTTGCCGGCTGCAAGGGGAGGTGAGGGGTGGGGTGGGGGAAGGGATTCCCCTTCAATCTACTTACTCACCGGTACAGCCCTTTCGTTAGTCTCATGGGATCCGGTGGTGTTGAGGCCAAGACAATTGCATACCATTGCATGAGCCCCAGGTTCGAATTTCCCGGTATCTCTCCTTCATTGCACAGTATAACAAAGAAGGCCCAGGCCTAGTCAGGAGCCCCATCGGTTATGGTCGCCATCTTGGAGGCTTTGTCATCCTCCCAGGGCCGCCATTTTGAAAGCTCCTCATGCTCCAGCCCAAGGCCTCACTGAGGCCTCCTCTAACCAAGGCCCCTCCCGAGTTCTTCGTAGCCAAGGACTGCCTGGGGTTTTTTTCTCTCTGATCATCCTTGGAGACTCCCCTTGTGGCACCTGAATTTGTCCTCCTTCATTCCTTGGCATAGGCCCAATTGTTTTCATTGGGTCCTCTGCTGTCTCAAGTCCCGGTCACCACTAGGCTAGCTGATCAACACAGTAGTTTCTAGCCTCTGACTCTGTATTAGTTGCCATCTTTTTATATTGCTGGCCTGGCAACATAGCAAGCCTCACTAGCAGGCCGCAATCCACCTTCTGGGGGAAATTAGAGCGGCTGCAAGTAGGACCAGTCTTTTGGATACTACCAATTCGGTAACCGGGGGGGGGGGGTAGGGCAGTTTTCCAGCCGTTGCCCTACACCCTTATCAGCCAATTGATCCTTTTCCCAGGGGTACCTTCTCGTGCACCTGACGTTTTTATACCAGCATGGAGGATAACATGGCCTCCCAATCCAAGGACGCCTCCCCTCCTTCCTCCGTCCGGAAAAGGCACAGGTCCCCTAGCTAAGAGGCTGCTGGTAGGATCTCAGCCAAGGTCAAACCCAAGGCTGTCTCTGGGGGAAAAACCTCAATATTGGCTGAAAATGGGCCAGCAGGAGACACCAGGCATTAGAAAAAGAGTTTTCAAAGGCTCAAAAACAGGCCAGGGCCGAGACTGCCCAGACTGAGTCCACCTTTTTTGATTTGCCTCTTGGTCTCTCCTCTTCTGCCCAGGAAGTCTGGTCACCGGTAGAGCCTTCTACTTCTTCTGGCCAGATCGATCTGGAACATGACGCACATACATTCAGGTCTCCGACCACCCCACGGGTCCAGCAGACCCCAGAAGCCACCTTCACGCCCACGGTCGCGGGGCTCAGGAGAGGAGGTTACTCTTCCTCCCCTAGAAGATAGGCTCCAAGTCCTGGTGGCTCAGGTGGTGAAGAGGGCTCTTGCTGCCAGGACTCCACTGGTGCCCAGGGCAGATTCCTTGCTTTCCCTCCCTCTTTCTCACCCAGCTCATCAGAGTTCTCACGATCCTCCTTCCTCCTCCCATTCTTCGTATAGTGGGGTTTCATTAATCCCGGAACAGGAGCAGGCGCTTGACGCCTCGTGGTCGGAG